TAAAATTAAATGCCTAGATATTCTCCGTTTTTATTATTTGATTACAAATCCGATTTTGTTTTTCGTTAATGAAACTATTCATTTTGCTGACCTCGCGTATATCTCATTCTTTAATTCTTCATATTCGACGCTAATATTACCATCAAAATATCAATTTTCGACGTTAATATAAAATTATTCGATTTTTAATCAATAATTAAATTTCATCAAATAAAATGTCATAAAATAATTTTTCAAAATTCCAAATCAAACATATTTTATAGTTTTCTGTTTTGAGAAATAATTTTTCAAAATAATAAATCAAACTTGTTTTTTGCAATTTTAAAACAGAAATTCAAAACAAATAAAGCTAAAAATGAACTCAAATGAGCCTTTATATTATGGAAGCTCCAATACCTAGTTCCTTTCTTTCGAGTCCAAATATCTAGAGTCGTCCAATTGGATTTCTATATCAATGCTTACTTTTTGTAGCGTACCATACTCGATGTCTTCAATGATGTTTTGCTCATATAAAGTAATTTGTCAGCATCCAATTTGTAGTTGTCTCATTCTCTCACGTTCCTTTACATATTGTCCTTAAAATGACGAAAATTATTTATTTGACAACTAGACTGCTACTAATATTCGATATATGACACCTTGAAAACGAAAATTGTACATGAGAGTTATGGTACTATAATATGCATGTTTGGCACAAAAAAAAAATTAAAAATTAGTTATTATAAGTTATGGATCTTAAGAAATGTTGGGATAATAAGTCGTTAAAATTTTATTGAGATTTTGACTCAAATTGATTAGGTTGAGATTTGTTTTGATATATTTATTTGAGACACAGTGTTCACAACCCCTTTATATTTTGTCGAAGCGCATTCATGGATGTTTTGGTAGCCTGAAAAAGGCATCGAACTTTGCTTTTCTCCTTTTCCTTTTCATTCATCCTCTATGTTCGTCCTCGTTCTACTTTCTTCCTGATCTGTATAGTTTCTTGTGTAAGAATTTCAACTTGAATGAGATTGACGAGCTGGTAATATGTGGCATGGTTTTTATCGCAAACATCCCTTAAAAAGAGAGTAACCATCCAAAGTCCATTCCTTTGAGCATCCTTCATTTTTTATTCAAATAGGATTTCGTAGGCAATAAGCTCAACACTAAAGTGAACAAAGTAGCTTTTCAATGATTCTCCCTTCTTCTGCCTCATAACATTGAGCCTAGTAGCAGAAGCTTCGCTAAGATTAATTCCAACGATAATATTAGGGAAAGCCTGTTTCAATTGTTGTCAGCTCCTGATTGATCCTGTTGGAAGCTTACAATACCTAGGGGTGGCAATGGGCTGGGCTGGGCCGGGCCGGGCCAAGCTGCTCGGTCCTTACCCACACGAGCACGAGCACGAGCCGAGCTCGTGGCTTGTCCACAACGCTCGGCTCGTGCCCTAAGCTCGCTGCTCGTGGGCGCTCGACGAGCCTAATATACACACACACACACACACACACACACAAATTTTCTAAACATTTTTGAAATATACATTTTTCAAAACATTAAAAAAAAAAAAAGACAAACAAACCCTCCTTCTTTATCCGGGTTTGGGACCGACTACTTCAATTTCGAGTAGGTGGAATTATAACTTATATACGAATAACTTGTTACGTGTACAATTTTTTTAAAAAATTATAAAGATATTAAAATAAAATTTTGTGACGAATATGATTAAATTAAATATCACTTACTTGATTACATGCAATTTCGATATATTTATCTTGCAGTCGATAATAAGCGTCTTCCCAGTCCTTCGCACACATTAATGCTTCCAAAATATTTTCTTTTAGTCGACTCCTGACCTTGGAAAGAACCATCTTCCCTGCATTAAAAGAAGACTCCAAAGCTACAGTGTTAACCGGATGTGTTAGTTGATCTTTTACCATTGCAAAAACTACTGGCCATTGGCGTTCATACCTTCGCCAGAAATCAATTACTTCTTCTAAATTTTTCCTAATCGCATTGTTACTAGGCATATTATGATTAAAATAATCAATTAATTCAGCAGGCAACACATTTGGACTATTACTCGATGTTTGTGTACATGTAGTGGAAGACAAACTATTACTACTACTAGAGGAACCACATGCATATGCAGTTGAATCATATCTATATGAGTTCATGCCTTCGAATTAATTTATAACTTTAGGGTCGTCATCTCCTATATTAGCAGGAGGAATATTTGTAGAGTCAGAGGGTATACAAGTAATATGTGTATCCATTCGTGAAGCATACACTTCATACATTTCACATAAAGTTTG